TAAGGGTGATTTATTGTACAGTTGTAGGGAGTATTATCTGTTACATAAGGGTGAGTTGTTGTACAGTTGTAGGGAGTATTATCTGTTACATAAGTGTGAGTTGTTGTACAGTTGTAGGGAGTATTATCTGTTACATAAGGGTGATTTATTGTACAGTTGTAGGGAGTATTATCTGTTACATAAGGGTGAGTTGTTGTACAGTTGTAGGGAGTATTATCTGTTACATAAGGGCAATTTATTGTACAGTTGTAGGGAGTATTATCTGTTACATAAGGGTGATTTATTGTACAGTTGTAGGGAGTATTATCTGTTACATAAAGGCGATTTATTGTACAGTTGTAGGGAGTATTATCTACAACATAAGGGTGATTTATTGTACAGTTGTAGGGAGTATTATCTGTTACATAAGGGTGAGTTGTTGTACAGTTGTAGGGAGTATTATCTGTTACATAAAGGTGAGTTGTTGTACAGTTGTAGGGAGTATTATCTGTTACATAAAGGTGAGTTGTTGTACAGTTGTAGGGAGTATTATCTGTTACATAAAGGTGATTTATTGTACAGTTGTAGGGAGTATTATCTGTTACATAAGGGTGAGTTGTTGTACAGTTGTAGGGAGTATTATCTGTTACATAAAGGTGATTTATTGTACAGTTGTAGGGAGTATTATCTGTTACATAAGGGTGATTTATTGTACAGTTGTAGGGAGTATTATATGTTACATAAAGGCGATTTATTGTACAGTTGTAGGGAGTATTATCTACAACATAAGGGCGATTTATTGTACAGTTGTAGGGAGTATTATCTGCTACATAAGAGCGATTTATTGTACAGTTGTAGGGAGTATTATCTGCTACATAAGGGCGATTTATTGTACAGTTGTAGGGAGTATTATCTGTTACATAATGATGAGTTGTTGTACAGTTGTAGGGAGTATTATCTGCTACATAAGGGCGATTTATTGTACAGTTGTAGGGAGTATTATCTGTTACATAAGGGTGAGTTGTTGTACTGTTGTAGGGAGTATTATCTTTTACATAATGATGAGTTGTACAGTTGTAGGGAGTATTATCTGCTATTCTTCACACATGAGAGAAATGAACTTTTCTTTTAACTCAAAAAATGTGGTGAAATTAAAATGTTTAGGCCTTTTTTTCCGTGAGATTCATGTTACTCAAAAACCAAATAAGATATCCAAAATGTCTTATTTTTTAGGATCTAATATGTCGACAAAATGAAGCAAGAAATTGAAATCTGGCTCTATTAATTTTTCAGATTCTAATGTCCCAAAAGTGATGCATCTTTACAACTTTTGCACACAAAAAATGTAAATTGTAACAAATTTTTTCCCCATTTATGTGAGTAAACTACAAGAAGCGGTTTCAATTTGATATCTCTAAATGTAAGATTTTTTCCTATTCACCTGCAGTGATTCATTTTAGAAGCATTTTATACCGACAAATTACCCACAAAATAAAAGTTTTATCCTTGCTCCTTTTTAAGATTCCTCCTCGTAACCGTCCTTGAATATCTTTGCTTCACCCGTTTCAAATTCCTGCTAGATTCCATTAACATCCACCGAGCCCAGACAAGAGGGAGTCTGTCTTCTTTCATCATCCCTCTCTCCTCTCAACTTCTTTACCCCCTCACCCCTACTTCCTCGTTCCCAGACACTCCTATCGTCACGGCGACCTCTCCTCTGACAGCGCTCGAAGACTTCAACTTTATTCATCCTCAAGGGGAATTATTTGGGCAAAGACAAAAAATTTAAATGGTAATAATACATTCTAAATAAGTGACAAAAAACCCAAAATTCTTCCAGCAGACAATATTTTATTTGCCAAAATACACAGGTAAAAATTAGTTGATCAAAAACCTAAAATGTGCATGTGGGCCCGGTCAAGCAGAAGTAAACAGCAAGGCCAAAAATTCAAGTTAATGCATCTGAAATAAAAATGTATTCAACAGATACATATGTACTCTAGTTTATGAAACTGTTTACCTTTTTTCTGTACCATTTTTGGTTCTAAAGTTCCATACGTTTTAAACAGACCATGTATGAAACATGGAACAAAAATTATTTCCCAAATTTCAAAGACCTGAAAATCATGTAAATAAATGGATGTATTTCATCATATCTTGTGTTTTTCCATCTTGATGTTGATGAAGGTACATGATTATTTAATATGATAAAAAATTGCTTGGAAGGACTGACATATTTTATAGAAATAGTTTCCTTTCATTTTGAAGTAATATTAAAGTATTCGTAAGAAAAAAAGATGACAAATTATGTAAAAATCCTGCACCTTCTACTTGTTTGCACAAATTTTCCCTCCGTTTCTTTTCCCTCCGTTACCATGACCTTTCTTAATAAAAAATCTCATTACTCAAAAAGTAAGAGGTTTTTCAACCTAATCTTGTACCATATGGTAGAAAACTATATGAAGCAAATATTCAAACCAGTTTGTTAAGGATATGTAAGTGAGAACCAAGAGTTATCACTGTTTGTATTTATTGCCCAAAAAGTGCTGCATATTTCATTCCCTCCGTTACTGACATGAGTTTTAAAATTTTTTGTCAACAACTTGAAAGAATATCACAGGTTTAACTTTACCCTGTTGGAGTGTAACTCTTTCCTACATTCTGATACTTTACTTATTTCAATAGTCCCTCTAGTTTCTGAATAAGAGACATTTGAATGTAAAAAATCTGCCCCTGTTTCCCTCCGTTACCACTTGACCAGACCCATGTAGGTTTGGGCGGTAATACGGTATGATGATATACCACGGTATCAAAAAATAACAACGGTATCAGTTTCATTACCGTCATAAAAAAAAATCTGCAGCACATAAGGACCTAATATAATATTATAGTTTACTGATATCTACATTTGTTTGCTCAGCACAAATGAATGTGTGGTTGTATTTTCAATTTAATGCCGTCACAATTTACTGTCACGTGACGCTCATAAGGGAGATCAAGACAAGACGGCAAGTTCGGCTGCAAGACAGTTGGCTTCCCCCCAAAAATACTAGTACTTCTGCAATTTGGCAGCATTTTGGCTTCATGTGCACATTTCTTTACGTTTTACAGAAACTTAAAACTGTGTGGCTAATTTGCATGAACTGTCAGCGCTGATAAAAACAGCTCGCTTCTTGTGCTGCTGACGCGGTTCAACTTTTGTCGGACTAAAGGACACGACTCAGTGGAATATATGTTTTTTTCTGTGACAGAGGATGTTGCGGCTGACGGTGAGTTTGTTCTGTGCGTGTCGCGTTGGAGACGTTCGTGTTTTAACTTTTCAGAGATGATGAACCTGGCTCCACTGCATCTGTGTATTTCACTTTACCTGAGCGTAAAAACTGCTACTACTGGACGCGTAACTTGTAGAATGCATGGAAAGTGAATGAGGGTGGCGTGTGCGTGGAGATAGATTTCAGAACATAGGATCCATTCCATCAAAATACTCAGAGAGCATGAATCTTTGGTTGTATTTGTGCATTTACCATCAGTACAACTTGCACCTGGGGCAGTTCTGTGTCGTATGAAAGAGGCCAGCTCCAGAAATACTGTTAATCAGTGCTTTAAAATGTACTTTTGAAATCCTGTTGTTTGCCGTAGTGAGTCTGTACAGAAGATAAATACAAGTCTGATACAAGCGGGTAAAAGCGCTCAGTCAAGTTTGATCGTCTTTCCCATTGACAAACACAGAGACAGAGCTGCATGTGTGTGTCCTGCTGCAGCTCTCACTTTGACGCGCGGCTGTGGTTTCACGCGGTTACGCACATAAATGCTGACGTTTTGGTAATAAGGTAATACCATATACCCTGGTAAAATCCTGAAAAGGTCTCAGACTATTCACCTTATTCTGGAAGTTGCAATGTTTTCCGCTATTGTGATTCAGGTTGTATTACTTTGTATGGGGCTGACTGATCCTAAAAGAAAATAAGTTCAAATAAGTTCAGTACTATAACTATAAACTATAAGGCCGTTTTAAAAGCCCCCCAGAGACTCGGTGCAGTGTGACTTGTTGGTGCACATGAACACTGAACATTTTACCCAAATAAACCGACTTTATGTCATATTTGAGCTACAAAACTTTTCCCAAATTCTCACTGAAATGAATTCTGTTAAACCAGAAGAAAGCCCAGTTTAAGAGCATTTAGGCTACATTCTGCAGGGCTTAACGCTCAATTCCGTTTTTTGTTAAATCCAATGTTTTTGCGAGGTCGTTCACATTTCCAATTAAATGTGACTTGTATGTGACTCCAGTGTGAACAGTAAACGGCCCGAAAGTGTCCGGCATGTGCACTGGAGACACGATGACGTCAACCGCAGCGAGCGTGCTCTGTGTTTACGGAAGTTGTCCAAACATGGACGCGAGCATTGAGCACCTGGAGATTTTAAAGTTCCTCTCGTACCGGAGCCAGAACATGAACAACTTACTTGTTTTAAGGAGGAGATTGAGAAGGAGAAGGACGAGGTTTTTTGGCCGTGGTGTTTTGTGGGGCAGCGGCAGCGACGTCCGTTGAAAGGAACGTGTGGATGTGGAGACGGAGCCAAGAGTGGTGAGTGGTGATGTGCTTCGTTTCAGTGACACGGAGTTCATTAACAATTTTCGCCTACTTCAGCGCAGAATAGTGACGTTCGTGGCTTGTTGATAACGTGTAGGTCGGATTCATGCGCTTTGACCGTTCACACTGAAGTCGCATGTCGAAAGATCGGATATGTATCGGTTTCAGGAGCACATTTCGAAGTGGCCTGGGTCGCATTTGAAAAAAATCGGATCTGTGTCGTTCAGACTGTCATTAAAAGATCAGATACAGGTCACATAGGGGCCAAAAAATTGGATTTGGGTCACTTCAGGCTGCAGTCTGAACGCAGCCTTAGACACAAAAGTGGGCTAGACAGAATAAGGCTCTATAGTTCAGTGGGTGAGAAGAGTGTCCATGATGGAGAGTTCACGTGTGTAATCTTGTGTGTCTGTTTCTGTGTTTGTGTAGTTGCTGTGTATCGACGTGCAGAAGAGGATCTCGTGTCTGGCTGAGCTGCAGGACCTGGACTACATGTCAGACGTGAACTGGGACGCGGTGCTCAACAAACAGCTCGCCCCCGGATTCATCCCCAACGTGAGTCTGTCTTAAAACTCTGAAAAAAAAAAAAAAAAAAAGTAAAAAAAAATAAAAAATGCTGGGGGTGTTCTACGTGTGTGTATTGGGGAAATCTTCACCAGTTACCATGGAGACACAATACACACTCACCTGTTGTAGTTCCAACTAAATTCTTTCTGGTCAGATTGTGTTAAAATAAAACATTGCGATCAAACGAAGATGAACTCAGATTAAAGTCCAACAACCCTCAGACAGAGCAGTGCCTACAGTTAGCATCAAACCCCAGGGAATATTTATGACATCAGCTGCAAAATATCAATAATGTTTTGTTTCATTCACACATACTTAACACACAAGCCTTACATATTTAGAGTTCTTCTCTCAAACAGGAAACAGTGCTCCCAGACATGTGATCTCCTCGTACATGTTTACTGTAGCTCTCAGGATCTGTTATGGTTTTCCCAACATGGAAACTACAGGAAACTTTTAAATGACTTCGGGATTGATCAGATAGTGGGGGAACATGGAGGAAATGTCTTAAATGCCGTAAAGTCTTGTTGTAAAACTGAAATGGTGCTAAAGGTGCATATTATTGTATTTTAGTCCTGCTGGCTTTTCTGATAATCACTACCGTATTTTTCTGACTATAAGTTGCTCTGGAGTATAAGTCGTACTTTTTGGGGGAAATGTATTTTATAAAATCAGAGACCAGGAACCGACATTTCATCTTAAAAAGCAAGTTCTAGTAATAACAACAGAACAGAGAACAACAGACTGTTAATGTCACATATTTCACAGTTCTTCAGATAAACTATAACATAAACAACAGAACAGGAACAAGTTTACCAAACTCTCCATCTCACTCCAAATCACTAAATCCATTCAATTCTTCATCCTCGGTGTCACTTCTGAGCAACTCAGCCTCGACATCCTGAGGTAAACAGAGCGCCGCTTCCTCTTCTGTGTAGCAGTCGTCAGACTCAGCATTATTTCCAGTTAGAATAGATGCATCACGAATCTCGGACTTGCAGTCATTGTGCAATTCATACTGGGAAGGATTTTCCGAAAAGTGAGCATCAAACCGCCATGTTTGTTTTCCCAGCGGGAAAAGCCGATCTTTTCAAGTCTTTTGAACAATATCCCTTTTGTTTCTGGTTCTGATATTGTCATACTTTAGTTTTGGGATTCGGACATTGTAATAGTGTGGTTGTTGGATGTCTTAACAGCAGGAAATTGCGCAATGACCGGAAGTCCGAAATTTGTGATGCATGTATTATTGTGGCCTTACTGAATCCCTACAGGATGTTTCCGGTTGTCACTAATCTCAGATTTCAGGAAAGTTTCATGCTGCACCATCCTGTTTCCCGTGAAGCTGTGTTCTCCATCCCTGCTTTCTCCCAGTCCCTCACAAGTTTCTCGCTCACTCCAGAACTTTCTTTCTGATGCTCAATTACTGTTTTCAGCTGAATATTTCACTACTTGCAGCAGGACAGAGACATGCGCAGTAGAGTGAAGTGACAGTGGTACAGAAGTAAAAGTTGTAGCAGATACTGACACACAAGACTAGAGCCTCTCGCTGCTGTCAGTGTGAACGTTTCGCACCGGAGTATAAGTTGCAGGATCACCCAAACCATGAAAAAAAGTGTGACTTATAGTCTAAAAAATACAGTATATCAAAAAGGGGTCATATCCTAATAACAGTATTACAGGGGAAATCAAGTCTACTTTACTTTAGATGCTTTAAATTTACTTTAGATACTTTAGATTTTTTGCCAGAAAATACTTTTGTATGTGAGAATGAAACAATACAACTCCAAGTCAGTTTTAATGAGGGTCCGGTCAAGTGGTAACGGAGGGAAACAGGGGCAGATTTTTTACATTCAAATGTCTCTTATTCAGAAACTAGAGGGACTATTGAAATAAGTAAAGTATCAGAATGTAGGAAAGAGTTACACTCCAACAGGGTCAAAGTTAAACCTGTGATATTCTTTCAAGTTGTTGACAAAAAATTTAAAAACTCATGTCAGTAACGGAGGGAATGAAATATGCAGCACTTTTTGGGCAATAAATACAAACAGTGATAACTCTTGGTTCTCACTTACATATCCTTAACAAACTGGTTTGAATATTTGCTTCATATAGTTTTCTACCATATGGTACAAGATTAGGTTGAAAAACCTCTTACTTTTTGAGTAATGAGATTTTTTTTAATTAAGAAAGGTCATGGTAACGGAGGGAAAAGTAACAGAGGGAAAATTGTGCAAACAAGTAGAAGGTGCAGGATTTTACATCAATTTGTCGCTTTTTTCTTCTGAATACTTTAATATTACTTCAAAATGAAAGGAAACTATTTCTATAAAATATGTCAGTCCTTCCAAGCAAATTTTATCATTTTAAATACTTTTTTTTTGGAAAAAAAATCATGTACCTTCATCAACAGTTCAAAGACACAAGATATGATGAAATACATCCATTTATTTACATGATTTTCAGGTCTTTGAAATTTGGGGAATAATTTTTGTTCCATGTTTCATACATGGTCTGTTTAAAACGTATGGAACTTTAGAACCAAAAATGGTACAGAAAAAAGGTCAACAGTTTCATAAACTAGAGTACATATGTATCTGTTCAATACATTTTTATATCAGATGCATTAACTTGAATTTTTGGCCTTGTTGTTTACTTCTGCTTGACTGGGCCCTGAGGTAACAACAGTCTAACATGACTTCAAGCTCACAGTTCCTCCATTTTGTGGAACATGTGGGCTTTAAGGAGCATATACATCATGAAGAACAACTATTTTAGCCAATGTACGGATATTCCCACAGCATTCCCAAAAAAGCCACAACATAGCTTCCTTTTCCATTACTTTGGCTGTCCACAGTGCCCCCCGCTGGTATGTCAGTGCAGCACAAGATGTATCATGGTAAAAAAGGGGCAGTCTCGGCCCATCTCCTGACTAATGAGCTGCTCCATAATGTGTATGCTGTCCTACATCTGCTCTGGGCTCTATACATTACACTGACAAACACAGTCCATTCTGTTCACTGAAGAGACACACTCAGAGGCAGCCTGCGTCCTTCAGGGAGGGGCCCGTGGGGAACTCACATGTGGACTTATTAGCTGAAAATGTGGACTTGACCATGTGTTTGAGCAAAATGAGCACACAGATTATATTACTAATTTAAAAGCGTTTTATCCAGACGGTTGAGATTTGCATCCCAGCATTACTGAGCATAATCTGTGTATAATTCCTTCATTTGTTTTTCAAAATAAAACCAAAAATAAGAAAACGAAAAAAAAAATATTTGTCTTCAAATCCAGTTTTCAATTTTGTGTTTAAATGAATAATGAAAAAAAAAAGTTTCCAGTTTCTGAAACTTAAACTGCGATGCCGGACTTTTGCATCGCATACGGACTGAACCAGGACTAAACCAGGACTGAACCAGGTCTAAACCAGGACTAAACCAGGACTAAACCAGGATTAAACCAGGATTTATCCAGGTCTAAACCAGGACAAAACCAGGATTAAACCAGTAAACCAGACTAAACCAGGACTAAACCAGGACTTATCCAGGTCTAAATGAGAACTAAACTAGGACAAAACCAGGATTAAACCAGGTCTAAACCAGGTCTAAACCAGGACTTATCCAGGTCTAAATGAGGACTAAACTAGGACAAAACCAGGATTAAACCAGGTCTAAACAGGTCTAAACCAGGACTAAACCAGGACTAAACCAGGACAAAACCAGGACTCGGTGTCAGGACAGGCCCAGAGGTGCGCCCACATGGACTGTCGGGTGATCAGGACCGAGACCTGGACCAAGACCAGGACGGGGATCAGGATCGTAGACCGAGACCTGGACTGAGGCCGGGAGCGAGACCGGGACTGGACCCGAGACCAGGACTGGGGATCAGGACCGTGGACCAAGATCTGGACTGAGGCCGGACAGGACCAGATCAGGACTGAGACCTGGACTGAGACCGGGACTGGACCAGACCAGGACCGAGAATGGGACCGAGACTGGGACCGAGACCGAGACCGATACCAGACTAGGACTGAGACCGGTTTAGTCCCGGGATCAGTCTTGGTTCAGTCCGTATGTGGCGCAAAAGTCCAGCATCAACAGTTTAAGTCACGGAAACCCGTTTTTTTCCCCATAATTCACTTAAACACAAAATTGAAAACTGAAAAAACAAATTGTTATCCGTTTTTTCATTTTGGTTTTGGAGACAAATAATTAAGAAAATTGTAGTTTTTTTGTTTTCTTATTTTTGGTTTTATATTGCAAAACGATTGAATGATACACGGATTGTGCGTGTTCAGAGAGTGAAGCAAAGGAAACTCTCTTGGTTAAGTTTTGTTTGGTTTTACACAAATTACTAGGGATGTAACAATAGCTGAAATATTGTGATATCGTATCGTCTCACAATAATATCGTGGACTGTCACAATATATCGAATCACAAGTTCCTTTGCTTAAATACATGGTTTTATAGTAGCAACAGCTTATGAACATCGGAAACTACATATCCCATGATTCATTTGAGTGCAGATGACATGAAGAGATATGTTTTTACTTGAATTCTTGGGATTATGACGGAAGTAATTCACACCAAAATCTTGTTAAGGTAGACAAAAGTTATATCAGCCTCTCCAAAATATCATAATAAATATCGTAAATCGAAACGCATATCGTGAAAATATCGTACAGAGAGATTTGGATATCGTTACATCCCTACAAATTACACATTATTTTGTCATTTTAGTCTGTGTACTTTAGTCCTTCATTGCAAAAACATTGAGGGGAATGGAGTTTTTGGCATGTTGCAAAAATATATAAACTAGTGCTGTCATGCGATTAAAAAAATTGAGAGATTAATTAATTATGATCTGTAATTAATTAATCTAATTAATCTCATTTTAATCTCACCTAAAAATTGCTGAGAAAAGCTTCAATTTGAGGTATTTTCATTTAAATTCATTATTACATTATTGTGGCAGATCAAAAGACTGACATAGATTAAAAAAAGTGACTTTATAAAGTCATTTATTGTTTAACAAATCTCTTCAATTTGTCTGTTGAGCCCAAGTCTCCATGAATAAGAAACTGTTTGCTGTAAAGTAGCAAAGACGAGGAAATCTGAACATAATAACTTTTGTTTACTTAAAGACAATAAAAAGTCCAGTCTTTCCTTAACCATATTAAAAATATTATTGATAGAGAAATGATTTATATATGAGATCACTGGTTTTAGTCCTAGTTTAGTCCTGGAATGGATTAATCCTGGTTTTAGTCCTGGTGTTAGTTCTGGTTTAGTCCTGGTTTAGACCTGGTTTTAGTCCTGGTGTTAGTTCTGGTTTAGTCCTGGTTTAGTCCTGGTTTTAGTTCTGGTTTTAGTTCTGGTTTAGTCCTGGTTTAGACCTGGTTTAGTCCTGGACTGGATTAGTCCTGGTTTTAGTCTTGGTGTTAGTTCTGGTTTAGTCCTGGTTTAGTCCTGGTTTTAGTCTTGGTGTTAGTTCTGGTTTAGTCCTGGTTTAGACCTGGTTTTAGTCCTGGTGTTAGTTCTGGTTTAGTCCTGGTTTTAGACCTGGTTTTAGTTCTGGTTTTAGTTCTGGTTTAGTCCTGGTTTAGACCTGGTTTAGTCCTGGACTGGATTAGTCCTGGTTTTAGTCTTGGTGTTAGTTCTGGTTTAGACCTGGATTAGTCCTGGTTTTAGTCTTGGTGTTAGTTCTGGTTTAGAGGCGCACAGGAGGAAGCGCGGTTTACGCCGCGTACGCGAGCAAAAACGATCCACACGCGGCTCACGGGAGCACGTCGGTGTCCGCGCAGTAACTACGGAAGGAAACGTGGTCCGCGCGTTCTCAGGTTAATGACGATGATGAAGGTGTGTGTGTGTGTTTGTGTGTGTTTGTGTGTGCGTGTCCCCCTCATGTGGCAGGTCACTATAGGACAGTAGTGCAGACATCATGAGCCTATGCAGGTTATTTTCAAGCGATATTATATTTGTTATTTTCTTTTATATTTCACGTCGGGAGAAGAATTTCCAAGACACGAATGCGTTTTTACCTGTGCACTGCTGCTCTGTTCTACTGGCTCTTCCACCTCGTCCATTGTGCGACTGACGCCGTAAACGTCGCTCTTACTGCGCGTGTTTTGTGTGGGTTTCCGACAATGAGTGGAATTGCCGAAATTTAAAAAATGTATAAATGTGTTTTTGTGTGTGTGTGTTGTTGTCCCAACAACACATAAAAACTGATTTTATAATAAAGCAACTCACATACAGAAACACTAAAGTTAGAGATTAAAAATGAGATTAACGTGATTAAAAAACATAACGCGCTAAATATGACTGTAATTAATTAATCGCAATTAACGCGATAATTTGACACCCCTAATATAAACATTTTCTCAATTTGGGAACAGGAATATGAAGTGCAGACAGGGGCATGGTGGTGACGGTCAACACATATTTTTGGTTTAATATTTGTTGTTTAAAACACAAGACCAAACCAAACCAAGTTACAGGTCAGATCTGTGGAGAGGCGACCCCGCTCACAGTCAGAATGCCTGTTTTTCTAAGTATTTTTGAGCTGTAAAACCACTTGTAATTGAATAAATGTAAGGTAAATTTAAATAATTAATTTTTCTATATCATGATATTGATAGAGAAAGAGGGAGGGGGTGAGTTAAATGGAGAGAGAGAGGGAAGAAGAGGAGAAGAGAGGGAGCGAGAAGAGGAGAGACAGAGGGAGTAAACGGAGAGATAGAGAGAGGCCCATTGTCAGAAAACTCCCAAAATCAATGGGCGATCGACAGTGGACCAATCTAATTATGAACGAATGTACTTCAGTCTGTGTACTTTAGTCCTTCACTGCAAAAACATCGAGGAGACTTGGACTTTTTTGTACATCGCAAAAATATGCAAACATTTTAACATTTCAATTTAGTATCTTAATGTTCAGGGAGGTGCACAGACAGGGCCCTGGAGGTGATGGGCAACACATATTTTTTGGTTTAGTGTTTGCCCCATAAAGACAGTACATGTGGGTCTGGTCAAGTGGTAACGGAGGGAAACAGGGGCAGATTTTTTACATTCAAATAGTTCTTATTCAGAAACTAGAGGGACTATTGAAATAAGTAAAGTATCAGAATGTAGGAAAGAGTTACACTCCAACAGGGTCAAGTTAAACCTGTGATATTCTTTCAAGTTGTTGACAAAAAATTTAAAAAAACTCATGTCGGTAACGGAGGGAATGAAATATGCAGCACTTTTTGGGCAATAAATCCAAACAGTGATAACTCTTGGTTCTCACTTACATATCCTTAACAAACTGGTTTGAATATTTGCTTCATATAGTTTTCTACCATATCTTTTTTATACTTTTTTTCTTTTTCATCTTTTTTTTTTCTTAGTAATTTTATTTATTATCAATAGATTTTTATTTATTTTTTTGCTAAGATGTTTGCATTAACACAAGGGTGGGGGAAAATAGGGATAAAATAAGAAACTAAAAAAAAAAACAAAGTGTCTACTGTAATGTGGCAACCAAGAATATATATCTATACTTTTTTCTTATGTGAAACTTTGACACAATAATCTAGCACAAAAAAATAAAAAATAAAAAATTTTGGACCGTGACAAAAAATGTAAAACCAGGTACAGTTTCTTTGCAAGTCACTAAGAGTCGAATGCCCAAATCAGTTATTGAGTGCAGTAAATAGTGCGGGTCTATGCAGTGAATGAGGGGTTAGGGACCAGGGTGGACATTCGGACACAGCCTCTGAGAGTTTTGCACTACAACCACAAACTGCTGTGTTTTCTCATTTCATTCCGAGCTCTATAAATCCTTAAGACAGGTAAAAAAAACATTCACTGGATTTTGGATGTGTGGGGCTGGGTCACTCGGCTTTAGTGTAACAGTTGTGTCCATCATTAAAGGGCCCGTATTATGTTATTTTCTGATCTATGGTAGAATGTAGTTTCGTCATCACAAACAGTTGAAGTTGTGTTTTGTTTCCTTCACACGTGTTGAAAACAAATCCATTTTTTTCAGGAGGTGAAAACATAATGGCTTAAAGCTCACAAGAGTCTATTTTGTATAATATAGGCAAGTTTCATTGTTGACAAAAGCGCGCGTTGCATGCTGGGAATTATTTTGGTCGGCGGCAATAAACACTAATTCAACATGACGGAGGGAGCGAGAAAGCACGTAAAGGGTATTGATCCCGGTTATTTATCCACTCTAACGGCAGAGGACCCAAGACCATTTGACCAGAAATTGGTCATAAGCATCGACAGACGCCAAAATCACCCTTTTCAACCCCTACAAAAGGTGGACCAAACCAAATTTCTGGTCGGAATCGCCAACTACCTGGACAAATATTCACTTGGGCGATATCCACAATGACTTGGTGGAAACTCCTGGGCCATTCACAGCAGAAAAGATGAAAACCTCCAAGAGTCTCGATGTGTTGTTGAACTTGTTGGAGTCCACGGTTTGTTAGGATCTTCTACGTTTGCTCTGCGAATGTTTGAAAGCCGTTTAATTCACCGTTAGCGGTTCTTTTCACTCGGAATACGAAAAAAGACATTTTCCTTCTTCCGTTTTTCTATTTGTGCATCTGATAATGCAGCAGGAATTTATCCATTATCGGGGATAAATACGCGAGGTTACGCACTGTGTTTGACCGCTATCGTGTTTCTTGCCTCCGACCAAAATATTTCCCAGCATGCAACGCGGGCTTTTAATAACAATGACGTCAGCTGAAACTCGCCTATAGAACTTTTGATGCAGAAGTGAAGTGAATGAAGCAGTAAGTGAATGTGTGTTTTTGTGTTTTGTCAATAGAAACGTCGGCTAAACTGTGATCCCACTTTCGAGTTGGAGGAGATGATTCTGGAGTCCAAACCGCTCCACAAAAAGAAGAAGCGACTGGCCAGAAAGACCAAGGAGCAAGGGTCAGATGGTTCTCCTGAGGTAAGTCATGACAGGTGATGTTACTGTATGAAGCTTTGTTTTTGGCTTTGGGACACCTTGTGCATTGGTATGATCATCCAAAAAAACATACTATAATTACAAAAAGTACTATCAATATGAAGTACTGAAAAATGAATTCATGAATAGTAACAGATCATGACCACTCTTACCTTATGTATTTTGATCATCCTTATACTTAGTGATGGGCAAATGAGACGGAGCTCCGGAGCACGTCTCTGAAACAAATTGCTCCGAAGCACTGCCTCGGAGCTCGTCTCGCAGCAGCCGCTCACGTGACCAAAGTGTGGAAGTGTCGGTCCCTCCCCCTACTGCTTCTCTCTGCGTGTCAATCGCTTCAGTGTATCGAAGCGTTTCATTGGCTCAGCGAATGTTCCGCTCTGCGATTGGTTCAGAGTGCTTCAGAGTGTTCAGCGCACTTCTGTGGTTTGACAAGCGCTAAACTGCTACAGTATAAAAGATGCACCAATATTTCTTAAAGTTGTTGGGTAGTGAGGAGTATTGTGTGACGTTAGTGGTGATTTTTGGAGACTTTTGGCGACTTTTGTCATTTGTTTCATTTTCGATGGCATCTACAAGTGGAAAAAAGCGATCCATGGTTTGGGATCACTTTGATCCAATTCCACCGAACAAGGTAACACCTCTTTTCTTATTTACAGCTGCTATTTATGTTTATGCTGAAATTCAGAAGAACAAATGGTTCATGGATCCATAACCCTAGTACCGTATTTTCCGGGCTGTTGGGTGCCCTGGATTATAAAGTCATTAAATGGTCTATTTTTGAACTTTTTTCACAAATAAACCGCACTGGACTTTAAAGGAAACACAACAGTTGGATGGGTCAGTTGGACTTTGACTTTGTTTGGCAGTGTGGCGTGTAGGGTGCTGTCTGGGACCGCTGGATTGTCGGCGTGTTCGCAGTGACTCAGTTGTTCACTCGTGTCTAGAAGTGGCACGTTGCACTCGCTTTTTTCGGTTCGTTCCTCCGTTCCGTTCCTCGTCGGCGTGGAGTGATGAGTGTGTCTGTGGGTGTTTTTCTCTGTGCGGTCGCTGTCTGCTCCGTGTGTGTTTGCGTGCGCTGCGGGTGGTGCGGCTTTGTAGTTTACTGAAGTCGTGCTGGGACGCCCGAGTGGATTCGTGTATAGGGCGCTCTGGATTGCGGCGCGCGCGGCCGTTTTTTGATGGAGGTTGGAGGCTTAAGAGCGCGTTTAATAGCCCGGAAAATACGGTATGTTAAAAATGTATGACCTGTATATTTATATTTGGGACAAAGTGCTTTTAAAAAAAAAAAAAACAAAATCAAAAACACTAAATCAGGTATCTGGCTCCTCCTGCTGGCAACATTTGGGACTGAACCATGTTGAAAAGTCTCAAAGCAGCACAGCGTACCAGCAACACAACACAAGCAAGGTGGTGATTTTTAATAACTTTATATTAATATTCTGAACCAGTCCACATTCTTCATTGTGATTATCAGCCCCAGTTACAGGTGATGGGTGGCTCCTTTGCTCATCTGGTAAATGTATCCGTGGTCCCATTAATAAATCTGTAGACACATTTTACATCTGTGTCCCTTCTCAGGCTTCATCACAACTAATGAGCTGTGCAGAGTCTCACCTGCCTGGATCTATTTGTCCTTCACTGTAGCTGCATGAAGGCACTTTACCTGATTTTTACTGTCTTCAAAATGTGCAAAACAGAACCATTTCATTTTAAACAATTTGCAGTGGCCCAAAGTTATTCCTCACTTACGTTATGCATTAAGAACATCCTAATTATTCATTACAATGAGTTTATAAGTCAACTTTCAGAGCAGAGTTTTGCCATCACAATAATTCAACAAGTAGCATGCCAACAGTGCACTTCATCACTATCAGAAAATAAAATGCTCTATTTATTATTTATATTATTTTAACGTCAAGAGCTGCTTATCCAACATAATACTGTACAGGGACAAGACACATTTTGCTCAAACACCTCTGGGTTATGCACATTCATCCATTTTATGATTAACTTAGATAAACTACATTAAATAATGTGCTATTGAATCTGTATGTCTATTAGGGATGGGCATTCGATGAAATTTTCTTAATCGATCGTCGGAATAATTAACGATCGATTATCGATTAATCATTAACGTTTTTATATTAAAATGATCATCATTATTATTACTATCTGCACTACTAATCTGTATAAATAAATTCAACTTTACGACATATAAACCGTAACGACTCTAGAGCCACATCAGCCCGTTTGACATTATAATGTGTTTAATTCAGTTTTGCTCAACTCTCACAGAAACAAAACTTACAACCGCATCGCTAATTTGCATAAACTAAGCGAAGATAAAACTACAGCTCTTGTGTCGCTGATGCGGTCATTATCTGTTGGATTAAAAGACATGACTCAGGTGAATACAGGTTAGTGTGACCATATTTGTGTTTGTCAAAACCAGGACACCGTACGGGGGGAGGGAGGTGGGGACTCGTCATCGATATTGCGCGACTCTCACCTGGAAAAACTTTTTCCCACTGGACACAGAAACATATGTGCTGCTTTGTTCACTGTGCACATGGACTCACACTTGTCCCGAATGCAACGGAAAGCGTGGAATTTCTTGTACAAATCATTGTTAAATACGCATTTGTGCTTCGATACGCTGCAGACTGACCGAATGTTTCTGTTTGCTCGCTCCTTCTGATGCAGAGAGACACATGTACGGACCCCTGTTTGGTCACACTACGCACAGCAACCTGCATTCGGTTTGTCGATTAAAATTAACGTAATTGATGAAATTCTTAATTATCAATTATCGATTAATCGATTAATCATGCCCATCCCTAATGTCTATTTAATTTATAGAGTGCAGATTTCAGACACACTGGTATCTCAGAGACAGTTCAACATCTGTCCACAAGGGGGCTTTTAAATATGAATTTCAAATAGAAATCAAGAATCATGTAGGAACTTTTTTATTATGTTGTCATAAATACACTTTAAGCGTTTGGAAACATTTTGTCATTGTAAATGAAAGTTCATGTGTCAGTAGCTCTGTTCATAGTGTTTGTCCACCAATCTCAAAATTGGTGGTTCAAATCCTCTCGACATAAATATCATAGATGGAGTGGTCAGATCAACTGACCCACAGGTTGTCAGTGTCATTCCAGCTCCCACAGATGAATGCTGCCGTTGTGTCCTTGGGCAAGACACTTAACCCCCTTTGCCCCCAGTGTCTGTCTGCACTGGTGTATGAGTGTGTGTGAATGGGTTTCTGGTTCCTTGATGGTTTCAATGAGGAAGTAGAGCAGTTTTAAAAGCAGGGAGGTGTGCTCTGCTGCAGTGGGAGTGAATCAATGGTTGCATTTTATTTACCTAAAGCAGAGCAGCACCTTTAATTGGATTTGAGGTCCAACAAGCAGCTACTTTAGAGACTAACTGAGGGTCTGTCTGTATCCACACTACTACACTATTACACATCCACACTATTTATTACGGAATCACATGCAACATGTGTGTGTTTTTGTGCAGTCATATTATAACCGAAATACATACACTACCAGTCAAAGGTCTGGACACACCATCTCCATATATGATGATGGATGATGGTTTATTGGCTTAAAAACTGAGCAGGAGAAAACCAGAGTTTTAACTGTGATGCAACAAAATGGGCAAAATGTGAACAGAGCATTTTGGAGAGCTCAGAAAAGTCAACTTTGGATTCATTAATAAAACAAGTGTGAATGAAGCAAAATACAACTTCAAGTATGTTTATGACAAAAGTATGTCTAGTATAATTTAGTATTGTCAATTTATGCTTCTTACCGTTTGTGTTAAAGAAGACTTATTGTACTTATGTCTGCGATATAGTTATAATTTATGACACCAGTGGATCATTATGTTCTAATTTTCACATTTTTATTTTTTGCATATTCATCTAAAACCGACATATTCAAAGAAACAAGTCCGCTGTCCGTTAGAAAACTGAGGCCCAGTGGGAACTGTAAACAGGCTGACAGTAGCTCAGTTGGTAGAGCAGTTGTCCCTAGTTGGCTCATTTACATAAATTGTAAGCGCTGAAAAAAAAAAAAAAACTTTCCTTGTGCACTGATGAGGTTCAGCTTCTGTCGGACTAAAGGACATGAGTGGAATATGAGTGTTGGTGAGACTATGAGGGATGATGATGATGACGGTGAGCGTGTTTCTGTGTGTGTGTCGTGTTGGAGATGGTTCATGTGCAGATCTTTATTTAACATCATTTCACTCACTTTATTTATGTTCATCACTTTATTTGTTTATTTAGGCTACTGCTGTGATAAAGACTGAAAAGTGTTTGTCTTTTGGACGCATGTGCACACAACTTTATGTTGCAGAAACTGGGATACTGTGTTTACATGCACCATGACTAAACCAGGATACTCAAAAAACCCGATCATACCCGGGACACGGATGTGCATGTATACACATAACAAAACCGAATGTAGGCTGCTATCGACAAAATTCGTAGTGGCCAATTATCAATTAGTCGACTAATCATGTCCATCCCTACCACTGATCCAAAGGTTGGTGGTTCAAATCCCACTCTTGTCAGAAACATCATTGGTTGAGTGGTCAGATCCACTGACCCACAGTTTGACGTTGCGATTCCAGCTCCTACAGGTGAATGCTGTCATCGTGTTCTTGGGCAAGACACTTAACCCACCTCGCCCCAAGTGTCTGTGTACACTGGTGTGTGAATGTGTGAGTGGTTCATTGATGTAAATTGCTTTGAGTGCCTTGAAGGTGGAAAAGTGCTGTATAAAAATGGGACCATTCTAACATTCTCACCACAAAGAGCCGTGCAGCCCTGAGATGGATAGCCGCACTTCACACCAGCGTGCCCCAGATTTTTTTTTTTCATTTGTACTACGATACTAACTATGATACTATGAAACGATGATAGTGCCAAATCCTATGCGTGTCACATATTAAGAACATAAAATTGG